CCTCCTCCTCCTCCTCCTCCTCCTCCTCCTCTTCCTCTGCTAGCCATGGGCCGCCCCATTGGCGTTTACCCGCGGCGGCAGATGCCAGCGGCTGTTTGGATGGCGTGCCTGGCGGCTGGCGCGCCCCAGAACTTCCTGCAGAAGGCCGCCGCCGGCATAGAGGCGCGCCTGCCAGAGCTGGACTTCCCCCTGCCGCCCGACACGCGGCCAGCGGCCTGCCGGCGGAGCTTCGCGGAGGAAGGCCTGGGGGACAACGTGACGGTCTCCATCATAATTCCTTACCTGCGAGAGAGCTGGGACCATTTCCGGCCCACGATGCGCAGCATCCTGCACTTCACGCCCGACAGGCTGATCGAGGAGTTCCTGCTGGTCTCAGACTCAAACCCGCCAGAGCTGACGTTCGAGCAGGAGCTCCGGGCCATGAGCCACAAGGTCAATGTAATAAAGAATGAGAAGAGACTAGGCCTCATCGTGTCCAAGATGAGAGCCGTGGCGCTGGCCCGTGGCTCTGTGCTGGTCTTCATGGAGCCGCACTGCATTGTGAACCGGCAGTGGCTGGAGCCACTGCTGGCAAGGCTGCGGGAAGCCCCGCACGCGCTCGTCCAGCCGACCCTGGACGTCATTCCGATGGACGACTTCGACCGGTACTTGGAGGGAGGGCGCGGCCATTGGCGCTTCGAGTGGAACTTGAATCTGATCTACACGACGCCGCCCGAACCGTCAGAGCTGGGGCTCAAAGACGACGATCCGGTGCCGTCCCCTGCCACCTCGGGGGGCATCTTCGCCATCAGACGCGACTGGTGGAACCGACTGGGGCTTTACGACCCAGAGATGCTGGAGTGGGGGGGGACCACGTGGAGGCCACCATGAAGGTGTGGCGGTGCGGAGGCCACATCGACGTGCATCCCTGTAGCCGGGTGGGCCACCTCTTCCGCGACCCAGACCACAGGCCCTACAAGGTCAATCTGAAGACGGTCGTCCACAACTACGCCAGGCTTGCAAAGGTGTGGTTCGACGACTTCCTCCCGAACTTCTACAAGGTGAAGCCCGATGCCAGGTGGATGACGCTGGGGGACGTCGGCGGGCAGCAGCGACTGAGAGAGTCGCTGGGGTGTAAGGACATGAAGTGGTATTTGGCCCACGTTGACCCCGAGATGGAGTGGGAGGCCTCACACATCTCTCGAATAGGGGATCGACTACAACATGGAATTCCCACCCCCCAGCTGTTTTTCCCGTCGAATCGAGAGGAACATACGTATGATGTTCGTACGTTTACGAACATGAGTATCGTTTAACCGATCCCCATCCCCAGCGGCGTGGCCTGGGCCCCACTGGCCGTCTTACTCCCCTAGACGGGGATATACGCCGTTCCCTTCGGGCTTCGAGGGGTGCATCCCCAATTGGGGGGGTCAATTGGTGGGGGTCTCGAAGGGGATGGGGATGGGGATGGGGATCGGTTAAACGATCACACTGGGAGCCGGCGGTAAACCGTCAACCAGGGCATCGCCGGGGCCCTCGTAGAGCTTTCACACTTGAGAAGAGGCTCAGAATACGACGAGAAAGCCCTCGAGTATCAGCTTAAAACTCGAAACATATATGTATTTTGATTTTGAACGAGCACCTGCGCCAAGTGTTTTGATAGTAATACTGGACCGAGGACATCCTACGTTTTTCCCCCGTAGTTTCGACGGAGAAATGCCAATTCTCCTGGCATCGCTCGGACGTGTGCATTTTTCCTTCGGCGAGGACCATCGAGGAGCATCCCTGATCATTTGGCGAACAAAAAAAAAACCACGCACGAAACCAAAACCAACACAGGGAATAGACGTCCGAGCGATGGCAGGTTCTGGGGTAGACCAATGCTACCGCCGATCCCCTGCTCGCACCTCGGCGGCGCGCCCAGGTCTGGAAGGCAGAGGGGGGGCGGGCCCTCTCGGAGGGCTCCGGGGCAGGCCCCGCCGTCCTCCGAGAAGGCCCACCTCCTCTCGCTGCACCCTCCTCCTCGCCCTCGCCCTCGCCCTCGTCCCGCCCTCTCGTCCTCGCCCTCTCGTTCTCGCCCTCGCCCTCGCCCTGTTGCTTCACCCTCGTCCTCGCCCTCCTCTTCCTCCTCCTCCTCCTCTTCCTCCTCCTCCTCTTCTTCCCTCCTCCTCCTCCTCGTCCTCGTCCTCCTCCTCCTCCTCCTCCTCCTCCTTCCTCCTCCTCCTCCTCCCCTCCTCCTCCTCCTCCTCCTCCTCCTCCTCCTCCTCCTGCTCCTCCTCCTGCTCCTTCTCCTCCTCCTCCTCCTCCTGCTCCCCCTCCCCCTCTCCCCTCCCCCTCCCCCTCCCCCTCCTCCTCCCCTCCTCCTCCTCCCCTCCGTCCTGGTCCTCGACCTCGCCCTCGTCCTGCCCTCTTCGAACGGGGCTCGGACGAGGACACATCCGCTCCAGGGCGCTCCATTAGCGCTCTCAGAGCGTTCCGGAGCGCTCGGAGATGGCCGCGGCGCCCAAGATCGGGGGTGGACCGAACCCCCAACAGTGACACGTCGATTAGTGAATTGTCCGTTTTCGGTTTCAGAGAGGGCGCCGTGGCCGTTATTTTCCAGGCTTGCGCCCGCCAGGTTTGGGCCCGAAGTCGCTTTCACTAAACCACGTTTTACTAAAGGGAGGTCTGTCCATCCCCGACAAGACATATTCCAGAGCCGCCAGATCTCTCAGAGGTGCACCCTATCTATCCTCACCCGAATTCCTCCTCGCCCTCGCCCTCGCCTTCTTTCGGACGCCTCATGACACGTACTACAGGCGGCCCAGATGAGTAGGTTGACCCTGCCGGATCAAGGGTACCCTCGTGTCCTGAGTCTTGCGACCCATGCCTTCTTACACTCCTGTCGCAACGTGGCCCCCGGAAGGGTCTTTGTGCCCTCTTGCGTGCCCTCTCCAATCAAGTCTGATTGTATGACAGGCCTACCACCGCGAAGTACACTGAAATCAACCGAGCACGCTTGGCAGCGTTGGCTTCGCTCGGACGTGTGCATTTTTTCTCCGGCGAGGACCATCGAGGAGCACCCCTGATCCTTTGGCGAAAAAAGCCACGCACGAAACCGAACAAAAGGCACCGGGAAAGGACGCCCGAGCGACGGCCAGAGTTGGGTGCGCAGGCCTGCTCCGGTCGACATGTTTTCGTGGCACTGACAGGTGAAGTAGAGCCTTGCTTAGACATGATTAAACCATAGGAAAGTACAAACAAAGTAAAGACATTTATAAAACAAAAAACGGACGCACTTTTGCAAAATCCGGAATTTGGTGAATTTGTTTACCCATCGGTCGTTGAAAGTAGGTATTTGTGGATTTCCACATTCCAACCTTTTTTCAGCGCCTTCCTACTTCAAGAGTCGAGTGGTTCTCCCTCTTCCCTCCTCTTCGGGCGGCGGGCGGAAGCCCAATCTATTTCCAACGCCTTCCTACTTCATGTTTCTACCTACTTCTTCCGACCGATGGGTAAGCTTCGCCCTGCCTCTCGCCTCCCCCCCTCGGCGCGCCGCCGATCCTCTGCGTCCCCGGCGCCTTCTCCTTCGCGGGCGGCTGCGCGGGGCCCGCCGCCCCGGGCCGCAGCACGGTGGACCGCACGATCCCTGCCGAGGAGCGCCGAGGCCTCCCACGAAGTCCAGACCCCCTCGAGTAATGAAAGCATCATTTTTTTTTTTTTTTTTTCGGCCTCCGGGGGCCCTCACCGGGCCTCGGGAGCGTCAAAAAACGACTCAGGATGCAAAGCCGGTCATGGGGAAAGGGTCGGGACCTCTGGGGGTCGACGTAATGAAAAAATCATTACGTCGGGGGTCTGGGAGTCTTGGCATCGCGCGGACGCGTGCACGTTTTCTCGGCGGGGGTCATTTCGGAGGTGGGCAGACCTCCTGCCCTGACGCGTCGATGGAGGAACTGGCCGTCTTCGGTTCGCGAGAGGGCGTCGCGGCCGTCATTTTTGCGGGTCCAGGTCCGTCTTTTTCGGTCCCAGGCCGTTTTCACCAAGGGGAGGTTTAGTACAGGGAGGTTTGTCCACCGCCGATTACTGAGGAGCATCCCGGATCGTCCTGCGATAAAGCCACGCACGAAGCCGGAAAAAGCACGGGGAATGGACGTCCGAGCGATGGCCAGAAGTGGGGGGTCCGAGGGCAGTCCAGTTCGGCAGCAGAGCAGCAGAGTGCCAGGCCTCCCAAAAGGGGCGAAGGAGGCGGCACCAACACCACCAGGGGGCCACCTCCAGCGAGGAGGTCCACGATGCCTCCCCGAGCTGGAGGCTGGGGATGTCCCGAGCGAGAGGGGGGACCACGCCACCAGGGGATCACTCCCTGGCTCCTCCCGCTTGTGGTCCCTGGTGGTGTTGGTGTCGGTTTTTTCCATGTCCCTACCAAAGGGGGGGTTCCGAGGGCAGTCCAGTTCGGCCGGAGAGCAGCGGAGCCTGGGGAGCCCTCTCGAGTTTCCCTCTTCGGCGTGCGCGTCGATTGGCGTCTGGGAGTCGATGAGATGGCGCCGATTTAGCGTCGGTGAGCGTCGATTTAGCGTCGACTAGCGTCGATGACCGTCGATTCGCAGGCGCCGACAAGATTGCATGGGAGGCTCCCAAGAGTTGCCACCGAAGTCAAGATTGAGAGGTCGGAGTACAGACATGGTTGAGAGTATCTAGGCCTACTAGATGGGGTCGGAGTAGATGGGGTCGGAGGATCGCGCCGCATCGCCGATGCATCGCCGATGCATTTGCGACGCGCGCGGCTCGATGTTGGGCCCAATTCTCTCCACGCCGACGTCGCCGATGCACCGCCGACGTCGCCAGTGCATCGCCGCCGCATTGCCGATGCCTCGGCGATGCATCGCCGATGTCGCCGATGTATCGGCGATGCGGCGACACCCTTCGACCCCATCTACTCGGACTCCATCCAGGAGGCCTCTGGATGCGCTGTAAGGATGGAAGCCCCTTGGACGCCCATGTCTCATATGAGGAAAAAGGTACTCCTGCCGCTAAGCTTCCCTCTCTCTCGGCCTCCTGGGAGGCCCTCGCGGCCACCGCTGGATTCGCCTCGAAATCTTCGTCAAAACGCACCCCGGGAGAGGTCAGGGGACTAGAGGTATCGGTACCTTTTGTCTTTCCCAATGTCGAAGATCAATCAGTGGCGAAACGTCCTGGCGTGCGTTCTGTCCCACTAAACAATGTTCTAAGATTTTTTGTGGTTTCGACGAAATGTTCTTAGAACATTTCTGTTCTTAGAACATTTTTCAGGGTCTAAGAACACTTCGTGGTAGGCCTATAGGAATGCCAGGACGGTCGGTCCCTGCTCAAGAAGAGCTCTTCGAGTTCGGCTGGCCATCGAACGTGGCCGAGGATGGGCCGACGAGCCGAAGAGGGGATGCGAGGTGCCCCTGGGAAGGTTACCCATCCTTATCGTCGGCATTGGCTGTAGGTCTCATGGCGTCAACATAGCGGAGCGGATTTCGTTCGGAAGACGAGAAGATGGGTCCGGAGTGTCCTGGAGAATTTCGTACTGGATTTCGAGGTGAATTTCGTGCGGATTTGTTCGGCCAGGAAGGACGACTAAAACAAATCCACGCGACATTCACTTCGTTATTCACTCGCCGTTTCGGAGTTTTGCATTGACAGAAATCCACGCACAAATCCGCTGCAGCACGTCTGCAAGATCGGTGCAGTGATAGGTGGGCTCTAAGGATCGCCCCGCATCGCCGAGGCATCGCCGATGCATCGGCGATGCGGTCCGATGTGGAGCCCGACGTTCTCCACGCCGACGCTGCTGGTGCATCGCCGATGCCTCGGCGATGCATCGGCGATGCGGAGCGATCCTCCGACCCCGCCTACAGTCGATACCGATGATAGTGATGAGCAAGCTTTCCACGGGCACCCTTGCATCCATGCCTCTGCGGCTCGTCGGCCCGTCCTCGGCCACTTTCCATGGCCGGCCCCGCCTGAAGAACTCCGGCATGGGCGCCCAAGGGGCCTGCGTCCTCATCGCGCATCCTCACCTTCAGTCTCGACTGCACTCGGCCGCCACCTTGGGAGCCCCCAGAGGAGTACAAGCGGCGCCGCGCGGAGATCGTGGCGGCCCTCGCCCAGGGCGAGGAGGGCCCCGAGTCTCACGAGCTCTGAGCTCGGCGGCCTCTCGCCAGAGGGGCATCTGGTGCGGGCACGCTTCGCTCAGGAGGCCGACTGCAACATGGATTGGGAAGGCTTACCAGCCTCGAACTTATCCCTATCCCTAAGATTGACACGCCAAAAGGCGATGACAATCTTTGGGATTCGCCCTCAAAGAATAAGGGAATCCCTAAGATTGGCATCCTGATGAGGAGATGCCCAGCATAGAGATAGGGATATGTTCCAGGCTGGTAAAAGGCCTCGTCGGCCGGCGCCACCGACCCTGGAGAGGGGCGGCGACGACGGCGGCGGCGGCGACGACGATGCTGGCGCTCTGGAGCCCTTCTCGGGGCTCTCTCTTGGGAGCCTCTTGAGCTTTCTCTGTGGGCCAGGGCTGGGGCTGGGGCCGGGGCCTTCGAGCCGGAGATCGGCTGCAGAATGGATTTGCCCCAGAACTGTCATGTTTTTCGCAGGGTCCACCAGGAAGGCGTCGACTGTTCGCAGATCCACAGAAGTAGTACGTGCTTTTTTCCGTCGATTCGACGAACATTTGGATTCTCCACGCTTCGCAATTCCCTACCAGCCCATTCGGAAAACTTGCCCATGAGAGTTGAAGGCACAAGGAACGGAAAGACAAGTGCATTGAAACAAACGCGGGCCACCAGGGTGAACAGAGAGAGATCTCTGGGAGCAAGGGGGCGGCTTTGGAGGGCCTCTTCGGGCCATCCCTGGGATCCGCGTGGGGCCGACGATGCTTGGGACCCAGACCCCCGACGTAATGATTTTTTCATTACGTCGACCCCCAGAGGTCCCGACCCTTTCCCCATGACCGGCTTTGCATCCCGAGTCGTTTTGTTGACGCTCCCGAGGCCCGGTGAGGGCCCCCGGAGGCCGAAAATGAAGAAAAACCTTTTGTCATGATTTTTTTTTTTTTTTTTTTTTACTCGAGGGGGTCTGGGGACGATGCTTGGGGGCATCGCACATCGCGCCGCCCCCGAACCTTGACTCCGAGCGCGCTCCAGGGCGCTCGGGCGCGGCTCGCGGCCGTCCCGCGCCCTCGCGCTCGCCGCGGCGCCATCGCCAGCGGCAGGTGGCCGCCTTCGCCGCTGCCCGCGGCCGCCCAGGGGCCGCGTCCTCCCCAGACCCTCTGGAGTAATGACATAATCACGACGGGAGGTTGTCCGTTACTTTCGGCTTCTGGGGGCCCTTACGGGGCCTCGGGACTGTGGACAGACCTCCTGCCCTGACACGTCTATTAAGGAATTGGCCGTTTTCGGTTCGCGAGAGGGCGTCGCGGCCGTCATGTTTGCGGGTCCAGGTCCGTCGGTTTCGGTCCCAGGCTGCTTTCACTAAGGGGAGGTTTGCTAAAGGGAGGTTTGTCCACTGCCGATAGTTAAAAAATCACGACGGGAGGTTTTCCGTTACTTTCGGCTTTTGGGGGCCCTTACCGGGGCGCCTCGGGATTGTGAAAAAACGATTCAGGATGACAAACAGGTCCCGGGAATGGGTCGAGAACTTTGGGGGTCGACGTCATGAAAAAATCCGGACGTCGGGGGTCTGGGTCTGTCTCCAGTACCCATCGGTCGCTGAAGGTAGGATCTTCTACCTTCCCATATTCCCATCTGCTTTACGCGCCTGTCTGCTTCAATGATCGGGGGCTTCACCTTTTCCGTCCTCCTTAGGGGGCAAGGGACACTTAATCTATTTGCAACGCCTTCCTACTTCATTCGGGGGTGGACAGACCTCCTACCCTGACACGTCGATTAGTGAGTTGTCCGTTTTCGGTTCTCGAGGGCGCCGCGGCCGTCGTTTTCCAGGCTTACCGCCGCCAGGTTTGGGCCCGAGGTCGTTATCACTAAACCACGTTTTACTAAAGGGAGGTCTGTCCATCCCCGATTCATGTCTCTACCCACTTCTTCCGATCGATGGGTGGGCGGCACGGCCTTACTGCAGCGGCAGGCGGACGGACGGGGGCCCCTGCTGGCTGCCCTGCTGGCCATCGACCGCGGTGCGCTGCGGCATGACCAGTGGCTGCTGCGGCGTTCGCTCCTGCTCGTTGGGCCGCCCTTCTTTGGGCCTCCTCGCCGCGTTCCTCGGCGGGGCCGCCGGCTGCTCTTGCAAGTGGCCGCCGGTCCGCGCACGAGCGCCGCCGGCTGGTGCTGCATCCTCCCGGTCGGCACGCGGCGCCGCTTCACGGCGTGCTCCCGCGCGCGCGCGCGCGCCCTTGTCCGTCTGCGGCTTGGGGGCCTCGATTTGCCTCTCGACCGGGACGCTCGCGATCCTCTCCCCCCTGGCGATGGCGGCCCCTTCCTTGGGCTGCCTGACCTTATGGATGACCTGCAGGGGGCCCAGAAGCGGCGGCACCCCCCCCAGGGGCGACGCGCGCACCGAGAAATCTTATAGTATATGCGTCGTGGCGGGCGCTTCCTGGCCACGCAGCTCGGGAAGCGATGCACTGCAAGATGGGTATACTATATGCTCAGGTCGGACGCGCGCGCCCGAGGAGGACATGTAGTACTAGTATGTCCCTGTGCGTCCCATGCGAGGGCAGCCCCGCTGGCCTGTGCTTGCGCCGCGCCCCCACTCGCTTCATCTCCTGCATCGTGTCCTCCTGCCGCTCGGGGTGCGCTCGCGTCTAGGGAAGTGAGCTGCTGGGGCCGCTGGCTGCGGCCGTGCCGCTGGGCCCGGCTGGAGCTGCTGCCCTGTCTCCGTCTTGCGCGGCTGCTGCGCTCCTCCTCCTCCTCCTCCTCCTCCTCCTCCTTCTCCTCCTCCTGCTTAGTTCCCGCGATCCGAGGAACTCCGCAACGAGCTGGTGCGCTTCCGCTGCTCTGCCGATGCCACCACCGTTGCCGCCTTCCGCTGCCTGGGCTCTGGCTGGCCTGCGGCTCCGCGCGCTGGTGAGCCGTGCTCTTGGGCACATCCCCTCTGCCAATCTGCGCATCCTGTTGGCTCGTTCTTGCTGCGGCAAGTGCTCCGCGGCGATGTTGCATCGCTGCGTTGGCAGCACGCGCATAACATGCGGGATGCAGGCTGCCCTCCAGCTCCTCAGCGCGCGTTTGCCGTCGGCTGGGATCCACCACTTCGCCAGGTCCCCCATCGCATCCTGGATGTGCCTGGCTGGCGATGCCCCGGGCCGCCTGGAGCGCTGGGTCTGGTGCTGGGTCCCGCTTCCAGTCGTGCGCGTGCTCGCTGCCTCCTCGTGCTGGGTGCGGACGATGGGTGGCCCCGCTCGCGTCCGACGGGGGCCTCGCGGCAGCTTCCTCGGCCTGGCCGCCTTGGAGCGACGGCCCCGCGATTGCGTGCGGGTGCCTGGCTAGAATTATGATGTTCCAACCTACTTTAGCCTTGACCACCGGGAAGAATTTCGAGCGCCCAAAAGAATACCGAACTTCAAGGGTTTTCACGTGTCGGGCACTGGGAGACACTCGTCCGACACCGTTTCGACACTGCTTCGACACTCTTCTGACACTTTTCGGGGCGCTCGAAATTGTTTCTGGGATGTGGTCCTTAAGTCGGATGGGGACAACGTGCGAACCCTACCCCTACCCCCCACGATTTCTGAGGGGGAGGGTGGGGTTCACTTCGTTCGGGAGCTCCCGAGCGAAGTGACCCCCCCCCCTCAGAAATCGCGGGGGGCAGGGATCGGGTTCGCGTGTGGCCCCCTATCAGCCTGGCCGCCTTGGAGCGACGGCCCCTCCGATGGCGTGCGGGTGCCTGGCTAGACTCCGGAGGGGAAAACACACACAGGCACGATGAATCGTCGATTGAGGAGGAGGAGGAGGAGGAGGAGGAGGAGGAGGAGGAGGAGGAGGAGGAGGAGGAGGAGGAGGAGGAGGAGGAGGAGGAGGAGGAGGAGGGGAGGAGGAGGAGGAGGAGGGGGAGGAGGGCTCCCTGTGTGTTTCTTTGTGTGTCACAGGGCCCCTTCTTTGGACCGCCCGCCCGCCGGGCCCCTCCCGGCGCTCCGCGGCCGGTGCCGAGGGGGCCTCTCGCTCGGGCCGCGCCTCCCCTCTCGCGGCTCTCGGCGCCCCGCACGTGGCGACCGCCGTGCGCCCGGGGCGCTCCCCCTCCTCTCGGGGGGGGGGGGGGAGATCTTCGGGGGCGGAAAGGAGGGGGGTGATGACGAGGGGGGGGATATCATGGCGTGGGCCATGATGTTTTCCCAGATTTCATGGCGCCTCCTCTTGTTTCATTACGTCCCTGGCCCCCCGCTGGGTCGCGCACATGCCGCCGGTCATGATTTGCACCCCCCCCCCTTGGACACCCCCCTCTTTGCCGCCCCCGAGAGATCGATCCTCGATTCCTCCTCGATGCCCAGGAAGATGTGGGAAGATCTGGGAAGTGGGGGGGGGACAAGAAGAACACACCGACACAATTCATCCTCGATGCCCAGGAAGATGTGGGAAGATATGGGAAGTGGGGGGGGGACAAAAACCCAGAACAAATATGGGAAACTATGGGGAATCTGGTCATTCGTGTGTGAGGAGCCGCAAACACTGTACCAAGCCGCGTGCAATAGCCACGGGCCCCACGCTGAATCGGCGCGCGCCGCCACGGCGCCGGGCGGCACGGCGCCGGGCGGCACTGGCGCCATGCTTTTTGGGGGTGCCTTCCCCGATCCATGGATCTGGTGACCACGCGCCAGATTTAAGCCGGGCCTATCCCCCTACAGGGGGGTTTTCGACGAAAAATAAAAAATAACTAAAACATAATCCAAAAATAATCCAAAAATAGTCTGGGGACTATTTTTCGCGTTTTTTTAAACTTTTTTGTGCATTTTTGTGGTACTTTTTATTTTTCGTCGAAAATGCCCCTGTAGGGGGACAGGCCCGACTTAACGCCAGATCCACGGATCCCTCATCCATGCCAGCGTGCGCCCGGGGGAGGGGGAGGGCGATGCAGTGCAGCTCAGCGCGGGCGGGGTGGGCGGGACTGCGGCGGCGCCTCCCCGTCTCCTGCAGCCGTTTCTGCCTCTCAGGGGCCCCGCAGGAGGGCAGCGCCAGCAGCCCACTGCGAGCTGCACACTGCTAGCGTTGAGCCCGGGTCAGCAGACCTGATGGGCATATTTCTCCACCACCATTACCGTGGGCAGGACGGAGGAGAAGGGAGGATGGGGAGGTTCTCCTCCTCCTCCTCCTCCTCCTCCTCCTCCTCCTCCTCCTCGTCCCCCCTCTCCTTCATATGGTAGCGGTGGTGGGAAATCGGCCCATCAAGGCCACTCGGGGTGGAGCCAAAGGCCAAGAGGTCACCCCGGGGAAGGCGGGTCCGGGCGGGCCCGGCATGCTGGCCCTTGGCGACGGGGCGCACCTGCGGCTGCGGGCCCTCGAGGGCGGCGGGCGCGGCGGCGGGGGCCTGGCGCACGGCCCGAGCTGGAGCGAAGGCTCCGCGGGCACGAGGAGCCCCAGCGAGTCCTCCTTCGACGCCGCCTCCGAGGACGACGACCGCCCGCGCCCCACCGGGGAGGTCCCGAGGGAGCCCCGCGGGCCGGGGTGGTGCGGCAGCCCGCCGCAGGCGCCGCAGCCGTGGGCCCTGCGGCGCAGCGACACTGCCGAGCTCACGCAGGAGGTGCCGGCCTTGCTGGACAGGATGAACGAGGCGTCGAGCCGGGTCAACCGCCTGGAGAGGGAGGCGGGCGCCTCGGAGGCGCGCTACAAGAGGCGAGTCGTGCGCTACGAGGAGATCTACAGGGGGATGCGCGCCGAGTTCGGCGGCGTCTTCGACAGGTGCAAGCCGCTGTGCGCGGCCCCCCTGGGGCACCAGGCTCTGAGAGCGCAGCTGGGCGACTCCACCGTCGAGGAGCTGGTCAGATGCTACCAGACCCTCGACCGCCACCACGACGCCTTGGCCCAGGAGCACAAGCTGATGGAGAGGCTGTCCCAGAAGCTCCGCGACGCCAAGCGAGTGTATGCGTCGACGATGTGTGAGCTCGAGGGGATCAGCAACATGGTGCACGAGGTGCGACAGAAGCGCTGAACCACCCTCGACCAGGCGCAGGACAAGACCCTCCTTGATAGAGGGCTCTTGTCTCGATGCGACCCTGCAGCTGCGGATTCCCAGTCAATGCTTTGGCATTCTGGCTCCGCTTTCAAGTAGCGCAAAAAGGCGTGCTTGCGTGCGGGCAGTGCAGATAAGCTCGCCTTCCCTCCGAAGCACCACGAAAGAGTGAGTGCAAGCGTCCTTCCCATGTCCTACAACCCGCGTCCATCAAGAGACGCCTGCGTGCATTTTGCATTTGAGGGCACCCGACCGTCGATGGTGGAAGTGGCGATGATCAGGGAAGGGCGGGGGTGCACAGAGATTGCGTCAGGTGAGGAAATGATGGGGTCGCCTCCCAGTCTGATGCTCAGAGCGCCAACGTGCGTCACCAGTGCGCTGTGCCCAACGCGGTACGCCCTAGGCTCCGGCAAGGACATATTTTTTGACGACAGGCCGTCTGGACACCTGTTTGTGGGAGTTCGAGTGAATGGGATGTGGGATGTCCGCCCTCTGCCGTGCTGGGAATCGATGGATTCTGGTGCGAGACTTCCCTGCGGTCAGATGCGATCCGATCTTGAGCCGAATGTCGGGGCAGTCCGACGTGTCCAGGAGTTCTGCCCATCAGCTGTGTCATCGCAGCGTATTGCCTCGGCTTCTGACCTCAGCTCGGACCAGCCGTCTCTATGGGATGCCAGCGAAGCTCAAGACTCTGCGGTCCAACATGGATGGGCTCGACGGGCGGTGTTGCGTGAGAACGGGTCCTAGAAGGGGTGGTGGCGGGGGAGGTGGCAGGGGTAGGAGGAGGGGGGAGGAGAAGGAGGAGGAGGAGGAGGAGGAGGAGGAGGAGGAGCAGGAGGAGGACCCGTGTAAACCCAAGAGTCATCAACGATGTTGTAGTAAACCCTCCCTCCAAGCTCCCTCTTCTTAGGCTCCCACAGCGGTTCATTTCCATTGATGGAAATGCTTCGTTTGGAGGCACCCGCTTGAAGACCCTGAAGCATGCCAAAACATTGTTCTCGAACGCCACGGATCAACCTGCCTGTTGCGTCTTGACGATCTTGAATCGTGCCAGAACGCCATTCGTAGGACTTCAACACACTGAATCAACGTAATTGTTGCACCCGCATAATCCTGAGTCCTTCCAAAACAGAGCTTCTGGTACGTTGATGATGATGGGAATCCGTGGAATGGTTGATCAGTTTGTAAGCGAATGTGCGCGGCGCTAAGGCGAAAACCACATTTTGAACAGGAGCCATCCTCAATCCGTGAAACTATTGCACATGTTTAAGACGAGTGAGCGCCGCGCTAAGGCGAAATCCACATTTTGAAATCCACTCGCCCTTAATCCGTGAAACTCTTGCAATACTTTACAACGAATGTGCGCCTTGCTAAGGCGAGAACCACAGTTTTAACCACTCGCCCTCAATCCGTGAAGCTCTTGCGAATTTCAAAAACGAGTGTGCGGCGCGCTAAGGCGAGAGCCACATTTTGAAAATGACCCGCCCTCAATCCGTGAAACAGTTGCAATGTTTGAAACGAATGTGCGCCGCGCGAAGGCGAGAGCCACATTTTGAAAACGACCCGCATCTGTGAAACTGTTGACAATTTCTAAGCATCAGAGCCATACATGGTGAGAAGTCTCAGGCGAAGCGCCCGGCCTGCCCTAACAACTTGCCTCGGGGTGCGACAGGGAGAAATTATTCCCAACCCTCCTTGTGTTGGGTACTCGTTTTGAATAGAGCACTGTGGTATCCACCTCCCGCTCTCTCCTCCTTCTTCTCTCCTGTGTTCGCGGTGCCCTGCGGGGCTGCGATCTGCGCAACTGTCGCCACTTTCGTGGGTTCCTGGGAGGCCCAGCGGAGGTACGTCCTACGCAGACCACTTTGGGGCCTCCCTGTCCCCTGCGGGGCTGCGATCTGCGCAACTGTCGTCACTTTCGTGGGTTCCTGGGAGGCCCAGCAGAGGTACGTCCTACGCAGACCATTTTGAGGCCTCCCTGTCCCCTGCGGGGCTGCGATCTGCGCAACTGTCGCCACTTTCGTGGGTTCCTGGGAGGCCCAGCGGAGGTACGTCCTACGCAGACCACTTTGAGGCCTCCCTGTCCCCTGCGGGGCTGCGATCTGCGCAACTGTCGCCACTTTCGTGGGTTCCTGGGAGGCCCAGCGGAGGTACGTCCTACGCAGACCACTTTGAGGCCTCCTGTCCCCTGCGGGGCTGCGATCTGCGCAACTGTCGCCACTTTCGTGGGTTCCTGGGAGGCCCAGCGGAGGTGCGTCCTACGCAGACCACTTTGAGGCCTCCCTGTCCCCTGCGGGGCTGCGATCTGCGCAACTGTCGCCACTTTCGTGGGTTCCTGGGAGGCCCAGCGGAGGCACGTCCTACGCAGACCGCTTTGAAGCCTCCTTGCCCCCTTGCGGGGCTGCGATGGTACGTCCTACGCAGACCTTTTTGAGGCTTCCCTGTCCCCTGCGGGGCTGCGATCTGCGCAACTGTCGCCACTGTCGTGGGTTCCTGGGGTGCCCAGCGGAGGTACGTCTTATGCAGACCACTTTGAGGCCTCCCTGTCCCCTGCGGGGCTGCGATCTGCGCAACTGTCGTCACTTTCGTGGGTTCCTGGGAGGCCCAGCGGAGGTACGTCTTACGCAGACCACTTTGAGGTCTCCCTGTCCCCTGCGGGGCTGCGATCTGCGCAACTGTCGCCACTTTCGTGGGTTCCTGTGCCACTTTGGGGCCTCCCTGTCCCCTTGGCGCACCTGGCGCGCACCTGGCGCACCTGGCGCGCACCTGGCGCGCTGGGCGCACCTGGCGCACCTGACGCGCTGGGCGCACCTGGCGCGCACCTGGCGCATCTGACGCACCTGGCGCACCTGTCGCACCTGTCGCACCTGTCGCACCTGGCGCACCTGGCGCACCTGGCGCACTTGGCGCGCACCTGGCGCGCACCTGGCGCGCTGGGCGCACCTGGCGCACCTGGCGCGCTGGGCGCACCTGGCGCACCTGGCGCACCTGGCGCGCTTGGTGCAAATGGCGCACCTGGCGCACCTGGCGCGCACCTGGCGCACACCTGGCGCACACCTGGCACACCTGGTGCACCTGGCGCACCTGGCGCGCTGGGCGCACCTGGCGCACCTGCCACACCCAGCGCAGACCTGGCTCACTTGGCGCGCCTGCCGCACCTGGCGCACCTGGCGCACCTGGCGCGTCTGGCGCCCATGGCGCGCCTGGCTCACTTGCCGCGCCTGGCGCAATTGGCGCACCCGTCACACCTGGTGCAACTGGCGCACCTGGCGCACCTGGCGCGCACCTGGCGCACACCTGGCGCAACTGGCGCACCTGGCGCGCGCCTGGCGCGCACCTGGCGCGCACCTGGCGCGCACCTGACGCGCTGGGCGCACCTGGCGCACCTGGCGCGCTGGGAGCACCTGAAGCGCACCTGGTGCACCTGGCGCGCTGGGCGCACCTGACGCATCTGGCACACCTGACGCACCTGGCGCGCCTGGCGCGCATGGCGCAACTGGCGCGCCCGGCGCAACTGAGGCACCTGGCGCACCTGGCGCGCTTGGCGCGCACTTGGCGCGCACCTGGCGCACCTGGCGCACACCTGGCGCACACTTGGCGCACCTGGCGCACCTGGCACACCTGGCGCACCTGGCGCACCTGGCGCGATAGGCGCGATAGGCGCACCTGGCGCACACCTGGCGCACACCTGGCGCACACCTGGCTCACTTGGCGCGCCTGGCGCACCTGGCGCACCTGGCGGGCCTGGCGCGCCTGGCGCACCTGGCGCACCTGGCGCACCTGGCGCGTCTGGCGCCACTGGCGCACCTGGCGCACCTGGCACACCTGGTCAGCTGGCGCACCTGGCGTACCTGGCACACCTGGCGCACACCTGGCGCGCACCTGGCGCACACTTGGCGCACCTGGCGCGCCTGGCGCATCTGGCGCACCTGGCGCGCCTGGCGCGCCTGGCGCACCTGGCGCACGTGGCGCACCTGGCGCACCTGGGGCGCTGGGAGCACCTGGCGCGCACCTGGTGCAGCTGGCGCGCTGGGCGCACCTGACGCACTGGCGCGCATGGCCTTCTGGGAGGCTCAGCGGAGCTACGTCCTACGCAGATCACCACTATACCATGGCGCCGAAATGTCCTTCGGTATTGAGTGGTCCTGAATGCAATTGCCACTTGTGTGTGTAGAAAGGGTTGGGTACGTCGCAGAATATTTTATATGGAAAAAGAGTGGAGGAGGATGAACAGAGTAAAACTAAGATGAATATTAATAATTCAAATTCGAAGACGAATCACAAGAGTCATAATACTACTACGACGAATAGTATTACTGATATGAATAATGATAATAGTCATAATGCGAATGCTGAGAATAGTCATACGAATACTACTAATGTTAACGCTAATCGTATGAATAATACTTGTAATCTTAATGAAAATGATAGTACGAATCATAGGAAGGATACCTCTCAGAAGAAGACAAATACGACTCAATGTAATACTAAGAGGAGGAGGAGGAGGAGGAGGAGGAGGAGGAGGAGGAGGAGGAGGAGGAGGAGGAGGAGGAGGAGGAGGAGGAGGAGGAGAGGAGGAGGAGGAGGAGGAGGAGGAGGAGGAGGAGGAGGAGGAGGAGGAGGAGGAGGAGGAGGAGGGAGGAGGAGGAGGAGGAGGAGGAGGAGGAGGAGGAGGAGGAGGAGGAGGAGGAGGAGGAGGAGGGGGGGGAAGGGAGGAAGGAAAGAGGAGGGGGTAGGGTGGATGAGGTCAGGGGACGAGGAGGAGGTGGGGAAGAGGAGGGCTGCGCCAGGAGGCGGAGGGGTTGCCGAGGAGGGGATGCGGGGGAGGAGGGAGAGAGCACTGGATACAGAGCAGCCGGCGTTGCAGTGAAAACAAAGGGGAAATGAGGCCCACGCTCTTTCATCGAGCGTGCAGGGGATCGCGCCACTCGAGTGCTGGCTCTCTTCTTCAGCAGCAACTGGTTGGGTCTTCGCTGGAGGCAAGCAGTTATGGAGCACTCGGGGACACGATATTCTCGACCACGTGCTCTGCTGAAGGGGCTCCGGCCCACCCGCGCCGCCCTCGAGGGGCATGCCGGCCGGCGGATTCGCGCGCCCAGAAGACGCTAGCAACTTCGATCCGCAACTTCCCCCGGGGATTGTCGAGTTCGGCCTCCGCGCCCTCTCCACAATTGAATCCTATTGACACGGGATAAGAAAAAATCAGAGGGGGTTGAGGGGTGGAGGTGCATTGTTATCCGGGGCGCTGGGTTACTGTTTGTAGCACGGTGGAAAGTCAGGGCGGCGCACTCCCCATACACCCCGCATCAGACGCCGCGCCGTTGGCTCCGACGCGCGCGGCCTTCCGTCTCGGGGAGGGCGCCTGGGCCACCGGGGCAGGTGCCGCCTCGGGCGCGCTGGGCTTGCCGTGGGCTCCGCCGCGGTGCCAGCCTCGCCCACTTGCGGGCGCGGGGCGCAGGGCTTGCCGTGGGTCTGCCGTGGTGGCGGTGTCGTCCACTGGAGCGCGTCGGGGACAACAACCGCGCGGCGACGCGTGCGGTTGTGTTCGCTAATTTTCGGCACCTGAAGGCCCTCGCTGGGCCCTCGGGCCCCCAAGAAACGGCTCGGGACGGAGAGCCGGTCCAGGGGGTCGGCGTCGACTGAGCAACTCGTGACGACGGAAGTCTGGGTCTCCCTCTCGCCTGGCATCGCTCGGACGTGTGCATGTTTTCCTCGGCGCGAGGCTCCTGGAGGAGCATCCT